TGGTTAAACTGCCACATGAGCTGGCCCCATGGAATGGAAAATTAAGTGTCCATTTAGTCAGGATTCCTCCAAAAATCAGAATAAAAATATCACCATTTAGTTTTCTAAAAATATCTACGTATAGAAAACATGAAAGGCCTTATTTAAAGGCCTCGTTCCCTCACAGTGCTCAGACTGGTACCAAGAGTGGTCTCTTAGCTGAGAGAGAATCTGAACCTGATTCTCCTCATGAAATATAGCAAAATATTCACAAACAAAAAGAATTTAATTAAGTGGGGTTTTTTTCCATGATCCCTGATTATGTGGCTGTTCATGCCCTTTATTCCTCTGCTGTGCCCATTAGGCACTGAAGTCAAGATTTTAAAGCCACAACGAAAGAAGTTTCTACTCAGATATTAATGCCTCTAAATAGAAGTGGCCCAGCTTTCAAGAAATGCTGAGTACCTGAATTTGCAATTGCCTTATACAGGACTTAGAGACATGAAAAAAAAAATGCAGACATGTTAACTGGTTTCAAATTAAAATTTAATTCTAAGCAACTTGATTTGAACAGATGGTTAGATTAGACTACCTCTAGTTGCTCCTTCTCATGGAAATGATTCTATGATTCAATGGAAATATAGTTTTAAAACTAGCTGCATATGAGATTGTCTTCAGAATTTTTTTTCTTGGAAAAGAAGACTAGAGGTAGAGAACAACACTATTAACAATGGTATGCCAGACTCTGAAGATTCATCAGAACTGGTTTGAAAAATGAGGATAAAAGGACACTCTGACTCCTCATTCCTTTATGCTCAAGAAAGTAAACTCATTTTCTGCTTCCTCCAAAGAATACTCATGATGAACTAAACAAGTGAATAAAACTTAAGTCCCAGGCTTCTGACAGACTTCTGACAGTTCACTGGCAGTACATAATTCATAATAACAAAAACACAACAGTAACATAACAGTTTCTCACAGTTAATTCACAATCATTTTCTGCTCTATCTTGAAATCACTGAAGCTGGGGCCACTGTGAGAAAACATCTCCTTTCAGCTCACTGGAATGCAGTTCTGCATGGGCAAGATGGGAAGGAATACAAAGAAATGGAAGAAAACAGTGGATTAGAAAAGCACCGTCATATGAGTAACAGTTCACTTGACACCTTAACCAAGAAAATCAGGGAGATAAGAAGGAGAAAAACTCAAATGAAACAAAAAGCCCAGGCAAATAATTCAGTTTTCTGTGTCAATTGGGCTGGGAGAACATATCTGGTAGATTCAGCTTTAGGGAATTTTCTAATCAGTTCTCAGATATTTTGGAAAGTTTTGAAGAGCAGCAGGCAGAGCAGGCCCTGACATGAGGACCAATGCATTCTGTACAGCACACTGCAGGACAGGGAGTTGAGACTAAAGATCTGGGGAAAGATTAGACCTGGAGAGTTCACAACCAGACATTTTTAATTTTAAACTCATTTTTAATCCTGCAAATCACTGTAGATACTTTCTGTACTAGAGGAAGATTAGAATGACATGTTGAGTATGTTGAGTTCTAATGCTACACTAAACATTTAAATGAGGGAATGCTTACACGGATATTTTAAACAAACAACCAAAAATCAGTCAGATTAACAGAAGAGGTGAGTGGAGGTGGCACAGGGGAAGAAAAAGGATTAGTCAGACTGAATGGGAAAGGAGGAGAAAGAGCTGAACCATAACCCAGAATAAAGATGTCATTTTAACACAGGTGAGTCAGAGAGTTTCCTCCAAAGCTGCATAACTGCTTGTGCCAGCAAAGGGAAGCTGCAAACAGCAGCAAGAGGAGTGGTAGTGATGGTTTCTTCCAGCCTCAGGGCTGGTTTGCCACTTCTCAGCTCTTAAGCTCATTATAAAAAATGTAGGCAAAACTACAGCCTAAAGGGCTGGCTTTTTACAGCCCTAGCTATTATTCAAACAACTTTGGAATGTCTCCATTATGAATCTGAAAAGGTGCATTAATAATCCGGAGCTGTGCTCCTACTGATTCACTGTACCAAGCAAACTGTAGGGTCCCTGTTTCCCCATTGCTAACCAAAAATTGTACAAGAATTCTTCATAGTCTAACAACAAAGCTGGGAAATATTAAATCACTATTAGTTCTGCTCTCCAGTATTTCCTTGCCTGTTCTACCGCTCCTAATAACTTCTAGTTCTACTGTAAACACAAACATTCCACTTTCAAGCCATTTAAAAATATAAATGGTTAATATTTGCCCTCCTTTTGAATTGTACAAATGGACCCAGACCATCAGACCTCACCAGGTGACTCCCTAACCCTTTACTTCAGCTATTAAAATGTTACATCTCTAAATTACAAGCTAGGTTACTTCCTACTATAAAAATAGTTAAAACCAGAAATTGGGGATTTCCTATATATAGACCCCTCTTCACAAAGGGACTAAAAGATCCACTTTTTAATTATTTCTGACATTTCAATCAAAACCTCTAGGAAAGAGAATTATTCTTCAGCAGACAGATTGTACGCATCTAGAAAGAGAGGTAAAACAGCGAAATAATTAGAACTATGGAAAATTAATGAGGAGTAAAATCTTCTCCTACAAGGAGGTCACACAGACCAAAACACAGAACAACCACATAAGCAGACTGTGCTTAAGTCTCAGAGATGCCACGGATCCTAAAAGACAGAAAGATGCCCTTTAAGGGAAAAAAAAAAAAATTAAACAGCATTTTACATGCTTCATCATTAGACCAAAAATAACTAAGATTATCTAAGAATCACAGACTAATTTAGGTTGAAAGGGACCTCTGGGAGGCAGCTGGTCCCAAGATTAGTTTCCACACTGAAGTTAAGCACCTTGCTTAAGAGTTTGCACAGGTAATTTTGAAAGTCTTCATGGACAGAGGCTCCACAGTCTCCCAGAAATGCTGCTACCCTTTGAGCCTTCAGCAGCTGACTGGGGCCAGGGGTTACTTTTCCCCAGCTGTGAGATTCGGCATCTGCTTTTAAGACATCATGACAACCCCACCTGGCTTTTATCTGTGAATAGAGATGTTACTCAGACTTCATTTCAATGTTTTTAGCACTTTAATGAAAAATTCCAATCGAAAAGACTTTGTGATGGTTGAAATCCACACAAACATACACAAGGGTCCAAGTCAAAACAAACAAAAGTGGTTCCAAAACATTTCGCCCCAAAGGATAAATTAGAATCAGTTTTAGGTTCTAACGTCTGAATTCTCAGTCTCTTAAAAATATAAAGAGGAGGGCAGGAAACACAAGTTTACTGGCTACTGAACACCTGAGCAAGTTCTGTGCCTGGCATAAGCCTGAATACAGCAATTTAAAATGACTAAAGCTGTCTCCAGTGGACAGACATTCTTCATTTCATTTGATTGCAGAGCTCAGTTTCAACTTTATTGACCATCTGTTCTGGTAACTTGATTACCAGAGCCAAGAATTAACTTGTCAAACTAAGTGTTTAGGCAGCAAATAGCTATTATTTTATTTGGATGTTGTGACAGGGGCCTGTATTTATACTGTGTTGTCTAGTTAGTCAGTGAAATTAAAATAACTCCATGCAGCACAATTCCTGAAAGCTTCAGAGGTCAGAATTCAAACACCACATACTGCAAGAACCTTTCTTGGGTGTCTTTACCAGCCACTTGACATATGGCCTAGATCAGGAACTGCTGCAAATTTAAATGTGCTGACTAAAAACTGCAGCGTTTGTTTCAAGTGCTGACAGAAAGGGAACTGACACACATCGACTCCTTTAAATCCATGTTTAATTGAATCATATAGGGTTGGAAAAGTTATCAATCCAAATGTGTTATTCTGCCAGTTAAAAAACAAAACAAAACAAAACAAACTGGAAAAAACACCGAGGATGAAAAGTTTAGCTTATCTGAGTAGGTCAGTGTAGGTTTCACAAACATTTTTTCACCCAAACTTTGAGGCCTCGTAAACATCCGTTTTTAAAGAAGAAGCTCAGAGGAGTCACTTCCTCTTAGTAATAAAGCAAGATGCCAAAATGCACGTCTTGTGAACTAAAACCATTTGTCACCCCCTTTCAGTTCTAGTGGCCAGGTATTTTTAATTCCCAACTATGCATTCAAGTGTATTTCCAGTTACTCCTGCAGAATCACATTCACAAAATCACACAGCGTGAGTAAAATCTGCATCAGATATATGCAGGTTTTTCCCCAGTTTCCAACCTCTACATGAATATTTTTAAAGATTTTACCATCTGATGCAAACAAACTCACAGAAAAAGGATTCCTTTTCCCATCTCAAACATGTGAAGGGGGCAGAAATTAAGAATTATACTGTATCAGTATATAAATGATCAGGTGTCTAGTGGTAAAAAGTGTAATCTCCAGTCCCTGTGTTAGGTAGCAAGGCTTCTTTTATTATAAATGAGACACTTGTCTCAGCCCAGAATTCACAAAATCTACAAGTTAACTAGAAACTGTGAAGAAAAGATGTAACTGAGACCCAAAAATCGAAGACTAATGCAGTTTTGATGGATGATGGAACTGCAGTACAGGACAAACATTAAAATACTGACAACAAAAATAATAATTAGTCGGAAAGTGTCAGGAGTAAAAAGTTACAGATAAAAAAAATTTGTATTTTCAAATTCCCTGGAAGATACAAGCAGAGCTTTAGCTTTTGCCAGCAAATAGGAGTTTATATGTAATTACATCTAATCTAGACCACTCCCTGCTCAAAACCATAGCCAGAATGCACAGCAGCCAGGAGAAAAATCTGAAGCCCATCCAAATTTCACAAGATACAAACAACTGATTTTAAGATGGAAGTTGCTTCAATAGGAATCTATGAGAGTCCATTACCAGCTGATCAACTGAAATGAGTATGGAGTCACTGATTTACTTTTTAATACAACTGTAACAAAATGAAATACAATAATAGCCTAATAACTACACTGACTTTACAGAGGGGAAAAAAACCCAACCAAACAACCTCTCCCCACCAAAAAAACCCCTCCCTGTAATACTCACTCCAAAAAACCTTTCCTGTTTCAATCTGACTGCGTAGCGAAGATACTTCTATTAAACATCATTTTCTTATTATTACTCTTGCTTCTTTGGAAGACTCCACAAGATGACCTAAACGTGACCTAAAAAAGCAAAACACAACATAATGTAAGTGACCAAATGAGAAAATCAGCAATTTATAGTTGGTTTATAAGCTCCATCAACTCTTTATGCAGAAATACCTAATTAATCACACATTTTCATTGTCTTCAACTGCCACAGCACCACAGCTCCATTACACAATCTAACAATTAAATGAATGTCAAACCTGCAAACCCTCTGCTACCAGAAAGAAAAAAAGGAAAGGAAATAATAATTAGAATATGCCATTTATTCTAATAATATAGGTATTATAATGATGAATTAGTCAAAAATATATTTAGCTACTCTGAATATTTTTAAATTTTTGCACACTCATTTTGGATCCAACAGACATTTGCTGTCCTGAAAGACAAAGAAAAAAAGGCAAGAGAGTTGCCTTCCTTCTCCTCACCACATTTTCTCTTTTACCCTGGCTGCAAACTGATTTTGGTTTGCTTTTTGCCGTACTTGAGTTTTTTTTTAAGAGCATAATGTCATCTGTAGTTCTACTGAGGAGAATTTGAATCGATGACACAACTGATCCCATCCTCCTATTCATATTTCAACGTGTGAAGCGGCCCAAGAAAGGTTCAGGAGGTCTCCTCTGACCAAAACCCTGCAGGTGTACAGGACAAAATATCTCCACAGGGCCATCACCCTGCAAACCAGTCTCTCAGAAGAGAGAAATAAACAAAAGCTATTTCCAACCCCCTTGAGCACCAAGCAGTACTATCAGTTTGCACTGATATTATCTGCAGGTTTGCAGGCCGAGCTGCAAAGCACAGGGCACGGAGCTGCTCTGCTCTCCACATCAACAATTCTTTTCTAAACCATGCTCTGTAGGCCCCACTGTGCTTGTGAGAGCTCAGCCTGGTGACCAGGAGCGAGGGTTGTCAGTGCCCCCAGACACACACGGAGCAAACTCCTCCAGGAATTGGCACGTAGAGCACTCTGAGGCAACTTAAATTCACCAGTGGCTTTGAGGGAGAAAGAGTTGCTGCCCCACCTGCTTAAGTCTGAAAAAAATTAAGTTGCTGCTCCACACACAGCCCTTTGAAAACAACCTTCTGATGTAGGTTCTTCACTCCATGTGCAAGAAGCCAATCCACACACAAAGTTGAGGTTTTTGATTTATTTACCAACTTATGAACTAGTTCAGAAACTTCTCATGGTTAAAGTCTAGGAGCCTACAGCAGGCAAGAGGCAAAAAGAAAAGGCTAGAGAAAAATGAAGGCAGTCCTAGGTGATTTAGAAATTTCAAGGACAAAGGAACAGTGAAGGACCAGCCTGGAATTCATACTTTACAGCTGTGGCAATATTTGTGTTTGTGGAATCAGAAAAAATCAGAATCAAAAGCTCCTGGTCAACAGGCAGGAGCTTGGGAGGGTGTGGAATGCATCACACTATAGCTCGGAGTCATTACTTGCAGAACTGTTTCTCCTCTTCCCACAGCACTTTGTATCTACACTGGAGGTCAGACAAGGCATTGACAACAGGCTTCCTGCAGGTCCTCTACAGCCACCTGTAAGGGAACACCCGGCCCTCCAGAGCTTAAAACACTCCTGGTATAAACAGACAAATTGCTCATTACTGGATTCAAGCACGAGAAACAAATCCTTCATTAGAGGATTTGAAATAGCTGTGCAGCTTTATCTGCCTTGCTAAGCAACCTTCCTAATTTTTCAGATCAGTAGAACAGGGGTTAAAAAAGGTGTTTTTTTTCTAAAACATCAACAATCCTATGAAGTAATTCAGGAATGGTCAAATTGTGTGGTGGCAACCAAAATGCCTGTGACAACATAGTAAAACCTTCTACAATTCTCCACCTCCCCTCTCTGCTTCTCTACATCCACAGAAACACTTATGAATGTAAGACCCCCCAAAAATTGTGCCACAAATAAAGAAAGGGGGAAATCTACAAGAAACTTTTGCCTTAAATTCCTATGTGGCATCTAATGTTCAAGAGAAACAATTACAAGCCAAGGAAACAGGTCACTCACAAAGACAGAGAAAAGGGGGGGGGAAAAGGAAAAAAGAAAAAAATTAAGCCATGTAAGATATCACATAGAAATTACTAGGTTAATTGTGGCCCTATGGTCTTCTACTCCACAACAATTTACAGACCCATCAGAAAGGCTGCTCTGTGAATTCTGTCAGAGTATACAAAGAACCACTTGTTGGAGAGGATACTCTGGGTTTCTTTAGGATAAGGAACTCTTGAGTGCGTTGAATGACATGACATAGCAGTTTCTTGAGAATCTTCCTCTCTGCAAATAAATCTCTGGCTCTGGAAGGATGCACTGAGGAGGACGTCAGGAGAGCACTAGCAGATGTTTAGAGAAGTGACACCCAGAGAAGGGCACAATTAGGGTATTTCATTGTTTTTGGTTCACACCTCAAAGCTGCCTCAAAGCTGTTGAGCATCTCATGCTCTCAGTAGCACTGGAGATTGGACAAGTGAGTGTCAAGCTAAATTAGTTGCTAGAGCATCCAACTGGCAATGAAAAAAACTCACCATTTCACCAAGTCTGAGACAAGAAAAGGATTAACCATCAGTAAATGCACCAAACATCTTCAAATTAAAAAAATACTGAAAAATATAAATCAACTCAGTCTCCTTAAACCTTAACTTTCAACCATAGGCACAAAATTCTTCAAGAACATTCACTATCAGTAATCAAGCCCTTAAAACAGCGAGAAAAAGACAAACTTGAAGCAGTGCACATCTGGCTAAATCACAGCAACCTCCACCTTCCACATACTGTATATCTGAGTGCAAATTTGAAAATGTGAGTCAAAGCCTAGATCTGGAAAAAAAAAAAAATTTCTTATATATTATACAGTGTTGCATTCAGACTGATCCAAACAGCAGAACTGCACATAACAAGCATCCTAATCATGCACTGCCCAGAGTCTCTTCAACAGCACAGACCAGTTTTGACCTTTTAAAGGTGGTCCTTATTTCTGCAGTAATATCAAGAGAAAATATCTTACTGACCATGGACAGCATACTGTTACACACACAGCAGCATTCTTCTTTGTGTTCTGCTTTCACAGGTGTTGGTGGTTGGTCAAAAAACCATAATATCCTTTAAAAAAAAAAAAAAAAGCATCAACCTTCTCTGAAACGTGAAACCTGCCTATCTCGTACAAAATCTTTTAACCAAAAGAAAACAGGCATAGAGCTACAAGCTCTTGTCATACAAAAACAGCCACAGAAACAAACAAGGCAGAGACAGAAATTGCAGAACACCAAGTTGTAAGCCAAATGAGTTCAAAAAAGGGAACTAAAAATCAGTTTACAGCCTTCCTTATTCCTGAGAACGGACAAAACGGCGACCACAAAGCATTTTCTTGAATAACTAAACATGTGGGTCAGTGTTATTCTTTAAGTTAAATGGGTATCAGCTACAAAAATTCAGTCACATATCTTCATTAAGAAGAACTCGGTATCATAATTATCCAGTGGGTGATTCAGAGCAGGAGCTCTGTGCTAACCTACTCTGAATCACCCTGTAAGGAGGCCTGGTTCCCTCTTCCCAGAGAGCCAGCCTCACAAAGCCATGGCTCACCTCTGAAATCCCCTTCAGTGTCCAACAGGCTTGTTTAAAACAGATGTATACTCACACAATCACATACTGTTACGCTTTACAATAAATCTTCCTTTTTTACTTGGTTACACGAGTTCGTTTCAGTTTAGAACTGCAGTGCAATACCAAAAACATCTTGCAAAGTTTTCACCAACTCTTTTTATTTTGCAAATACTTTTAGTCTCAGGCTGTGCCAGGGAAGGTTTAGGTTGGACATCAGGAGGAATTTCGTCACACAAAGGGTGATCAGACATTGGAACAAGCTGCCCAGGGAGGTGATGGAGTCACTGTCCCTGGAGATGTTTGAAGAAAGGCTGGAAGTGGCACTCAGTGCCCTGTTCTGGTTGACATGGAGATGTCTGGCCATGGGTTGGACCTGACAATCCCAGAGTTCTTTTCCAGTTGACTCCAATTCATTCTGTGATTCTCTCAGGGTGTCAGTTACTGACACTTGAATTCATTGGGGGGGTGGGGTATGTACCCCTCTCACAGGTATGATGGTGCTCAGGGTTCAGTAACCCAGTAACCCTCCTACCAACTGCAGCTCAGAACTCAACACGATTGAAGCTGTGAGGCAAATGACAATCTTTTGTCTTTACGACAACGTTAACATAAAAGCAAAAGACTGTGGGCTCTTACTGGCACTGGAAAATGAAGGACCCTAAACTAAAGGAGCAAAGAACAGATACTTCCAGATGGCAAGGAATCACCTGCAGGATTTAGGATCAACAAACAGAAACCTAAACAAAAATAATTTGCTTTTATTTTCCCAGAATGATTCAACTGTTTTTCTCCTGCTCTGCCCGTTTCAAAAGAAATACCTTTGGGCAAAGCAGAAAGGGAAGACATCACTGTTAATAAAGCTTAACAAAAAGACTACTAGATGACAGATCTCCCTCTCACATTCTGCCAGGCAGCCAGTCATTCCCTCATCTGAGAGCAGTGTGCTGAGATCAAGACTGGCAAGGTCTCTGCTAGTGGGAGATCCTGCAAATGCCCTCAGCATTGGAGAGGGATGGCTGCCAGTGCTCATAACTTCTGATGACAACTGCAGAATAAGGAAAAATCCTAGGAGAGGTTCTGGGCTGGAAAATGTACTGGGTCCGAGGGTACTCTGCGGTTCAAAAAGCACGAAGTTCTAGGCTGCACGTGACCATTTTATAAAAACAGCGGTGGTGTTATTATTTCAGATGACTCACAAACAAGTGCTTAGATTTGCTTTATATTGCTGCATAAACAAGGAGTCAAGTGAGCAACCCTTTCCAGCTCATTTCCAGTTCCGATCCAGCGTGGGGCACAAGCGATTACACAATTGGTTCAGTAGCTCCAAAGCTGGTGACAAAGAAACAAACAGTTTAGACTGAACAGACTCATCCATGTGAAGATGTAACTCCTCCCAGGGCCCACAGACCACTTTCATCTCAAGGTCAGTGTTGCAGCTTTTCTAAGTCTGGTTCGCTACATCTGGCTCACAAAAGTGAAGAACTGGAAGCCGTGCTCCTCTTCCCAGAAATCCATCCCTACAGCACAGACACACGGTGTGAAGCTCAGAGGCTGGGGGCTGAGCTAACCAGATCACTGAGCAGAAGTTCAGGCAGGTGCAAACAAATCCACCACCCTGCACTAAAGTAGACTGCAAGCAGGAATAAGATATTTGATTCTGCACAGATTCGCAGGAAGTATTTGGACACAGCAGTCTTGGGGAGGGGGGCATTAATTGCCAGCAGCAATTCCTGTACCTGTGGGATACCAGTGAAGCACTGGTTCTTTGGTTCTCTATCACAAGACAATTATGCCCCACACTTTTGTTTTGAACCATACCTCTGAATCTAGTTAATTACTGGGTCTAACACAGAACACAAAATTGCCCCCATACCATCATTTTTCACGCAGAAATCTTATATTCATTTAATGAGCTCAAGGCCATTTTCAGGCATTCTAAAGTTCATGAAGTCCTTCTCCAGCATTTCTCTCCGATTGTCTTAAACTCTGAAGGACTCACGATGCTCAGGTCTCTTTGACTCAGCATTTCCTCAGAATTCAGGGACAACTGAACACTGCCCTTGTTGTTGATGCCTTCTCTACTCACTCGTGTGTCATAGATGTAAAAACACACAAAAAACCCTACTGGTTCCACCCAAGAGTTACTAAATGAATAAATATTTACCTGGACTTTAAACAGAGAAAGGAAACAGTGAATCTTCAACCTGGCTCTGCAAAGATCTTATTACAATTACTTAGTTACTTGAAACATTATAAGTAGGACTACTCACAATTTCTGTTCCTTGTGATCTCTTCTGTGCAATCTATTTTCTTCACTACTTTCATACACTGATGTTTCACTTCCTATTCATGTTCTGTTAAATGCCTAATATGGAAAATTGATGTCTATTTAGTTCCCAAATTCTGCTTTTTGTTGTGCTCATATTTATATAAATGAGAACACAGTAGTAGAGTTAAAAAGTAAAACTGAACAAATTTTTAGTAATTAATTACTACGAGCCATATTGTGAAGCGACTGCCCACTCTGCTCCAGGTATCACTTGAAAGGTTTTATTCTTTATTATTAAAATAAACCCCAAAGTGTGGGTTGCAAGAGACCATGAACCAACACAACAGGGTCTATCTAAATGCTATCTAAATGCTGCTGCAGTTCAACTTGCTGTTTGATTCCAAATATCAACAGTATTCCATCACTAACATCATGCACACAGTAAATACCACCTGAAACTAAAAGTAATCACTAAGAATATTTCTTGTGCTGAAGAAGGAAAATTCAAGCATCTAACAAATGCAGCTTACCTCCAGCTATATCCAAGACTCTATTAAGCTCTTTCTTCTCATTAATGAAATGCTGTGCATTTTAATTTGCTCTTGCTCCCTACTCCCCATTTTTTCTATGTAATTTAAGAACCCCAAATTTGCACTGACCCCAGGCTAGAAGCAGGAGAGAGTTTGATATAAAAAAAAAAAAAAAAAAAAAAAAAAAAAAAAAAAAAAAAAAAAAAAAAAAAAAAAAAAAAAAAAAAAAAAAAAAAAAAAAAAAAAAAAAAAAACACAACAAAAAACACCACTAAAAGACAAGCCTCCTCTCATAAAATCAACAGTTCAAATCTGAATCCATAAGTCAGATTTAAACAGTATTCACATATTTTACACTGCTTTTAGACAGAACACCTAAAATTACAGAACACTTGATGTAAAAACAAAGCAACCAACCCAGAACTGTCTATTTTCATCAGCTGCAATGCTCAGCACAGTGATTGAGACTGTGGCATTTTTTGGTTTCCTTCATTGATGAAAGGGTTTCAGTGCATTAACTACCTACCTGTTCTACTTTAGCCTTATTTCTGACAGAAGTCAAAGATGTTGCCGTGTCAGGAACACTTCAGTGAGGAATCCACTTCCATGTTCTGAGGAAGAGCAGAGCCTCAGCAGCACCAGAGCAGTAACTTGCCCTAAATCCCTTGCAGGGCATTGCCACATTAATTCACACCAGAGATTTCTGCACAAAGCAGCAACGTTGTGACCCTGTGTGAGAGCAGCACCGGCAGAGCACAGAAATCCTTTGGGAATAGGCTTCTTCCATAAAGACAGCAACCTGCTGGGCAGGTCCCCTAATACAGGGGAATGACTTCCTACCTCTAGCACCACAGATGCTCCAGTGAATAGGAGTGCTCTAACCAGATCAAGAATAAATCTATATCAAATAGGACCACATTGCAAAGCAATTCCTGGCATTGAGATGAACGGTGAGGAACAAGATGGAAAGAATAAAATGCAACCCTCTTAATTTCTGTGTAACATCTCAAAACCACAAGACTAAAGAAGACAAAGGTTGGACTGAAAATGATGAGTTCTCTGACATTTTCAGGAATGTCAACCCAAGCACATGGGAGAACTGCTGGAACAGCACCATCTATACTTGAGAAAGCAATTCTTAAAATATGCCATAAATCAGAAACCGAGAAAGTGACTTGCAAATGAAAACAACAGCTTTTCGGTTTTCACACAAACAGTAAGGGCTTGACCAAGATAAAAGTTTCTCAACACCTCACTTGACAGCAGAAGAGTGACCTACCGAGGGAAGACTCGGAAAATATTTGCTTTAACTCCTTTCAAAGTCTCTCCCATGATAAGTCAGAAAGAAAACAAAGCCCCTCTAGAATCCTATTTCACTTCTCACCAGTACATCAGAGGAAAGAAGTTCATCACAGAACAACAGAAAATTAAACAACAAACCATTTCTTTTGCCACTGCATCCCAATAAAATCTTTCTTCAGGTTAACTGGGCCTGTTAATCATCACAATGCAGACATTTGAGCCAAAGGTTTCAGGAATGCTGTTGTTTCTGAAGAACCCTTCTTATGCAAGGGCTCTAACCACCCACACTGCCTCTTTTTTCAAGAAAACTGCCATTACATAGGTAGAAGCCCTTGCTCACTCTACAAACAGAGATAAAAAACACCCAAAAAGCAGCATGTTACTGTCCTGGCTGA